TGCCCGCCGCGTCGCCCCTGCCCGCGCGTCGCCCCTGCCCGCTGCATCGCCCTGACCTACCCCGCGCCTGGCCCCTGGAGCAGCCGCTTCTGGAGCAGCCGCCCCTGCAGCAGCCACCCATGGCCCCTGGAGCAGCCGCCCCTGCAGCAGCCGCCCCTGGCCACTGGAGCAGCCGCCCCTGGCCACTGGAGCAGCCGCCACTGCAGGAGCCGCCCCTGGCCCCTGGAGCAGCCGCCACCGCAGTCGCCTCCGTCGTGCGCCTGCCCTTCCCACCACTGGTGAGCACTGCCCTGCCCGTGCTGCTACTGCTGTTACTGCTGCTGCTACTGCTTCTACTGTTGCTCCTGGCGTGGCCAGATGCAGCTCCAGGGCCGTCCGCATGTGTCCCTCACGCCCCAGCAGCTTCGTGAGTGGTACGCCAGTTGGGGTTGTCGGGGTGGCAGTAGTGGGAGTCGTCCTGGAGTGGGTAGTTCGGGAGTTTCTTGTAGTGGCCCGGTGCAGCAGCAGCGTCGTCTACGCGAGGCTCTTTCGCCCCAGCAGCTTCGTGAGTGGTACGCTCAGAGTAGAGGGTCACTGAGTACTGCTCACTGCCCGTACGTCATTCGCACAGGTGTCCGGACTGGTCAGCCTTGCGGGACACGTGGTCACACAGAGTCCCACTGCTTCGCCCGTCTGGGCGACGCTTGGCGTACAGAGTTTGGCGACGACGCTGAGCTCCCCGACTGGGTGGAGCTGCTTAGGCAGAGGGTAGATATCTATGCTCTTGACTATGATGCTATCCTCACTGCCATGTATGCATTGTCTACTAGTGCTGAGAGTGCCTGTCACCTGTGTGTGCCGCCTGACCCCGGTATCCAGTCTGCTGCTCTAGATACTGGTGAGGCTGCCGCACTAGGTGCTCGTGTGTCTGTTACCTCAGGTGCTGGTGAGGCTGCTGCTCTAGGTGCTAGTGTGTCTGTTGCCCCAGGTGCTGGTGAGGCTGCTGCTCTAGGTACTCGTGAGTCTGCGCCCTCTGGTACTGCGTCTACTGAGGCACTGCACACCTTCACACTGGACTCAGGCGCTTCCCGCTGTTTCTTTCGTGACCGCACTGCCCTTGAGCAGCTTGCTCGGCCGGTTGCAGTCTCCCTCGCTGACCCCTCTGGGGGTCCGGTCATTGCGACCTCCTCCCTTGTCCTGCGGTCCCGTCGGGGACACTGTCAGGTCTCTACCTCCCCTCGTTCTCTACGAACTTGGTGGCGGGTAGTGTGCTCCAGGACGGGGGTGTCCACCAGTTCACCCCTGCCTACGAGCGCGTGACACACTGCACGTGTGCTCGGACGGGTCGCCACCTGGCTACCTTCACTCGGTTGCCGGGGTCGGACCTGTACACACTGACCACTGAGTCCCCTCAGGTAGCAGCGCCTGCGTCTGCGTCAGGTCAGCTGTCGGCCCCCTGCTCGTGTCGCTCTCTGGCGCACGAGACCGTCCTCTGGCACCACCGCCTTGGTCACCCGTCCGTGCAGCGCCTTCGTGGCATGCACTCCCGGTACCTTGTCTGTGCTTAAGTGTTGTGGTCGGTGTGTGCGGCCACGGCCTCGCGGAGCTACCGGAAAACGCCGGGGTAGGTGTGGGGGTCGATGTGGCGGGGTACCCACCATGACCCGCCGCCGCCGTAGTGAGTGACGGCTGCAATCTCTTATCGTGTACTCGGGTCTCCGACGTCGCCGGCTCGCCTCGTGCGACATTCGCGCTCTGGCCTATAGCCGACGGAATGTCACCGTCGCTCGTCTCCTCGTAGATGTTAAAAAAGTTGCGCCGCATGCCGGACGCCCGTGTCGACACAGCCACGACTCGTCGAAGAACAGACGTGTTGGCGTCACAGCGTAAGCGATTGGACCCGCTCCCGGTGGCCCGCAAGCGCTTACCCGCACGGCCTGATGCAGATTGGCCGCAACCTTGTGTGCCTGCGAGTTCAGATTGGTGAGAGGGAGGAGGCGTGTTATCAGTCTCCCCTTCGGACTCGGACTCGCTTGCGACCCAGTCCGCGTCGCCAGACTGATCCTCGCTGTCACAGGATGAGGACTCCGTGCCCTCGCCGTCTACGTCGGGCTCTTAAGAGCATGATGAGTGTTGCACTGTAAACATCACCTCGTTGTACTTCAGCCATGCCTCAGGGCCGCACTCGGTGCTGCGTGGACCGGCGTGCTCAGTGTCCCCGCTTAGTCTTGGATCACCACCTGCAACAACAAACGCAAACGCTACTCAGTAGCTTGGTGAGTACCCAGGGTCACCGTATTGGTGGCACCGCCCATGGCCAACACCGCAATGAACCATTCCTAATAAGAAATCAGCGTTGGGCATGCGGAGTTTACGGCACGTACGGAAGTGGCTTACCCCTTGCCTTGTTTGACTGTTCTGCATTGTCCGCGTTTGCAGACGTAATCTCCGTCAACAGCTTCGTTTGTTGACGTCTCCGTGCTTCGCGCTCCGCGTGCACGTCCTCTGGAGTCTGGCCGTATGGGTTAGGCAACGATCTCTGGCGTGGGCCGGCGCTGACACCGTGCGTGGGCTGACGTTGGCCTGGCGGCAAATGACTGGCGCCACGTAGACGCCGAGTTCGATATTCAGTAACGAGCACACGCGTGCGCTCACTCTCTTCCACCCATTTGCTGTCCAACGCTCGAGTGCGGACCGTAGTCACTACGAAATCGGTCCCGTTAAGGTGTGCGGGTGGCTTCCTATCTCGCATAGGTCGGTCTAAGGTTAGAGACATCGTTCTGACCTCGAACTGGCTTCTTCAATAGGGCGATTCTTGCAACACTGGCCTGCGCGGATGCGCATTAGCTAGGGTTACGAGTAGTACCCAAAGAGACAAAGCAAGGGTTTCGCCAAAAACGCAATGAGACAGCAAAGAACAGGAGTCTTGCAACCATCAACCAACCAGACGCGCCAATCGGCTCCTGCTCCCTTGGGGGCGTGGCATTCGAAGTGACTGACAGCCGTGGATTGAAGTCCACGCCTGACTGGGTCAATCTAAACCGTCTGTGCGTTGTACAGCACACGAAGGACGGGATACGCGTCATTGGCCGCTTTTCGTAAGACCCCTGTCCACGCGTCGGCCTCGAACTGCGGCAATGACGTGTAACCTTATCGTCGCCGCACCGGAACCCAGTACCGTGTACCAGGACAACTGGTTGCACCACATACCGTGCAAACCAATTCCGGATGCCTTAACGAAGTCCGCAATAGCCGACCATTATGGGATGGTCGTTACAAGGTTGCCCGTTGATCTGGGAGTACACACTGCACTGCATCTTCAACATTTCCCACGACGGTAAGCCACGGTGATCGAAGGCAGCTGTTGAGTGCGAAGTAATAAACCGTGCACCACCGTACCGTGAAGTTATGTCAACTTAAACGTCCCCATTTCTGGATCGGTGTGTTCACATCCACCATCTCCAGCCCGCCGCACTTGACGCTGCCCAACCGCGGCCTCAACGTAGACCCTCGGCTTCCACGTAGACCTCAGGGTTCACGCTCGTGCTACAGCCTACAATGCCTCCTAAGAAGTCTAGAGCCCCGACCTCCCGTATGAAGAAGTACAGTATCCCATACCCAATTGGTGGCTCGTGGTTATCGTTGACGCAAAAACAGCTAGACACCCTGTCCCCTGGACAGTGGGTGTCTGGCGACATCATTGAGTGGTGGGGCATGTAAGTAACCCGCCGCTTGATGTGCGTCATTGCAACAGCCCATTCACCAAGTTGTTATCCATGTTTAACACGTTTCGTCATTCGTTTGATGCAGCTTGCTTCAATATGAGACTAGCAGAGAAGAGCGGACGTGGCTATACGCGGGGACTTACTTTTACACGCTGATTTCCCGTGACAACACCGCAGCAGCACTGCGAAACATCGCATGCGGAGAGAATGTCCTGACCTACAAGTGGGTCATAGTTCCGATCCACCACGAGTGAGTCATTTACAGGTGTAGTCATCCGTCATAGCATCTGTAGGCGACCACATAGTCTCATGGCGGCACCCATTCTTGCATTCGTTCTTGCAGCGGCCACTGGAGCCTTGTCATACTGGACAACGACCACCCAGTCGACGAGCACAACATCCCGCGACCTACCCGCATCCTGCATGCAGACTCCCTCTCGTTACACACGGACATCGCAGGACCACTGAGACGTTATCTTGCGGCTCAGCTCACTGGGTATCGGCCCATTGTCACGGACGTGGAGGCGCAACTATGGGAGAATTCGGTGGAGCTCGTCACCATGGAGGTATGGAACGCTTAACACTTAAGCGCATGCGCCAGAACAAGATGATGCGGCCCATCTATGACTGCGTCTCTACTGTGTGTTTCCTCTGTATGTGTGTGATGTTCTCTGTGTCTCAGGTCACAAAACAGTCGAACCTGCACGACTGTGGTGTGTACGTGATGAAATATATGCAGGTGATGGTGGAAACCGCTTTTGCAAACACATCGTTGATCACAATGTGGGGTGAACCAACAGAATGGAGAGAGGACATTAGGGAGGATTTCTTGGAGTGGAGCGGCTGGTACCCCAAGCAGATGGGCGCCTCATCTTCATAGCACTGTGTTTGTCACAGTAAAGTCGTTGTGAACAATGGTGCAATGTCCAGGGCTCCCAGATTGACAGTAATACATGCCTCAACTTGCAATGTTTAAGCACTTGGGATAAATATATATGCACGAATGGTGCCGGCCATAACAAACATTATCGAGGTTGGGTATAGGGTGTCTGGAAGATGGTCGGTGAAACAGCTCGTCTGGAGGCCGTCACTGTTCCCGAAACCCTAATCAGCGGTCAAGCACACCTTGCTTACAACCCTTGGCATCCGAGAAACCAACCCCCGATTCCGACTGTCAGGTTAACAACCATGGCCTCCACGCGAAGCGGGCCACAACAGCGCGCCAACAGTCAGCAGGTAGGGCACGCCGTACACGACGGTGGCGCTGACGGAGAAAGTGAAGACCCATTCTGTGGAATGCCGGAAGATGTATATCGAAGCGGTGCGTTTCTACTTCCGTGTTTTAATCCACGGGCTCGCTTTTACAACTGGGATGGTACTGATCCACGGTACGGAGGAGAATCTCAGCCCATAGGCGCCAACCACCCCGCCGGGCACGGACAGGGTGACGAGGAACCCGTAGCGCTAGGGGAGCCGGTGGACGCGCTAATAGAAGCGGAGACGCAGATCTACACCGGCTCACCGGACCTCGGGACAGAAACTCCTGCGACGGAGGAGGACCTGAGCTCCCTTCGGCCTGCCAATGACAAAACAACGTCGGAGTTCCGCGGCGGACGAATCGCGGCACACGAGAACGATCCTCATCCGAGCCGTCCCACGAACCGCCTTACTGGTGTTGCAACGGGGCGCGTAAACCCTTGTGTGGTGGGCGAAAAGCAAGAAGTGGGAGGCACGAGGGTCGACGGCCAGTATCGTCCTGTCGAAAAGTCACCTAAGCCGGTGGCGACGGACAATGCAGTTCCTAAGGTAGTAGCGTCGAGCGCTAACGATGAGGACATCGGCAAGAAAAAGGACGTCGTTCGTGGCGATGTTTTTGAGCCAACATCACCCCTCGCTGCCTCATTGCCGGTGCCCACAGGTCCAAATCGCAATCATGACCCCGTGACCGGGGCCACGCTAGGAGTCGGCGGAGGGATGCTATCCGACACACGGGACGAACAAGCGGAGCAGAAAGGGGGGGCGGCATCGATGGCCGGTCTGGGCCATGGTGACGTAATAGACCGCAACGCAACCAAGCTCAAGGATGAGGACAACGGGCAGGCCGAGCCAGGAGTAACGCCACGCGCAGCGTCACTGGGCCACGATGGACACCCGCATTCCGGTGCCATGGCAGGTATGGGCCTAGTACCTTAACTCACAGCCCCTCCAGTGCTAATTCCCGGTGTGTCACACCTCCCCGTTTAGGGCACTTCGCTCTCTGTCCAGAGTGCCTGACTTCCCCTGGTCATCATTACAGGACCTGGAGGTACACACCAGGCGGCTAGCGTTCCTCTGCTTGCAGCTGCATTGCCAAATGTGCCTCGTGCCGCGCGGGGTGAGTCCGTGTCATGTGTGTGTCATTCGTCGGGCACCCTGCGATGGGCTTCTTATAAGATGCCATGCTAATTCGCGCATCCCACCCATCCCCTTGTGCAGCTGCCGCCAGGCTGCCAAACTTCGAAACGGCTATCTCGTTCATCGATGTGGTAGAGCGGCTGCTGCCCATTCCCTCTACTATCCGCCTAGCCACGGAAGGTGAGGCACAGTTACCCCATTTGCTTTTCTGGGTATCGTGTGATATCTCACCCCCTATCTCTTGTCCGCAGGAACCAACGATGCGAGGGAGGCAGCCATCATGGGAGTACCGATCAGAGCCCGGGCTCGTGTGGATGCACTGGCTCGAGGTGAGTTGCTCGTAAGGCGTGGCAAACTCCACCTTTCCAGTATAGAGCACAGGACTTACGCATTGTCGGTGATTGTCCACACTCTCCTAATTTTGCAGCTGTGGCCAGGCTGCCGACTTTCGACACCGCCATCACGTTCATCGATGTTGTTGAGCGACTAATGCCAACGCCTAGGGCAAAGCGCCCACGCACGGACATTGATGCGCCGCAGAAACTCTTTCTATCATGAGCTAATAGTGTTGATCTATTTATGCCAACAAGGGTTGGGCCCCATTGGTGGCCCACTTCAAGAAGCACAGGTGTCCTTGAATGTTTGCCATAGCCTCCCAGGGGTGGATTTAGACGGAACATATCATAGTGATGGCTCCATGTTGATAGTGGTCAGGGTGTGGCTCGGATACGGATATGGGGTGGCGATATGCGTGAAACTCAGTGGCGTTTCTCCATGTTTGTAAGCATTAATGTTCATCGTATTATATGTTACTCATCACATTACATAAACACACACTTATGCCCCTGGGGGGTATATCGAGATCGAGAGGGCAGGCACGCGGTGAAACCCTAACGCAGTTTACGCCTTGTTCACTACGCGGGCTCTCGTAGGCGGGACTACATCCTTAACGTTAGTGGACCGCGTGGATGTAAAGTGCGTTTGCCCGCACGCATTCGGGGACGTGACCGCCATGTGAGTCATGTTCTGAGCATGACCCGTATACTATGCCGTACGCGACATGCTGTTTCTGCGAGAAATTACTGAAAAGCTACGGTGGGTTACGTAGACATCAGCGGAGGAATAAAAAATGCCTGTACGAACAGGACCGCCTAGAGGCCTTAGGCATTCCGTACGGCCGATTCTATCGGCCGCCGTTAATCACGATCGTGCACGCATCCGGTCGGCACATTGACGCGCCATTCGAGCCCCGCACGGCTCGCGATCGCGACGAGGAGGACGCCAATGGCGATGACGGGGAGGCGTCGTCATCAGCAGAGTCAGCTCCGTCGGTTGCATCGGGGGAGTCGGAGGACGAGGCGGAGGCGGGTGTCAGTCGGGACTTTAGGCTTGAAATAGCGCGCATTGCGCGGACGTATTTCTTGCCTAATGCGGCCATAACCGACATCATCTAGTTGTTTAAAGCTGGGAACGGGGACCCCTCAGAGGTGGATATGTGGCATTCATATCGGGACCTCGAACGGTTCGAGGAAGAATACCTGTCATATGGCGACGAATGGGAGATACGCGTGTTGGAGCTGCAGGAGGGGCTGGGCGCGGTGACGTTTCGGTTGCGGCCGCTCGTTTGTGTGAGTTTTGCGGCACAGAGGTTAGAGGCCGTCCACATTTCTGCCACATTGACCCGTTGGTATGCTGCTGATTGGGCAATCATTCACCACACAGATTCTGCTGAGGATGTGGGAGAAGATGTCCCGGGTCCCCGGGTTCACGACGGAACCACGGATAGTGGAGGTGGATGACGAGAGACGTTACGGGGCCGCTGTGGAATGCGACTGGTTTCGTCGGGTATGGGTACGTTTGAATCTGTCATGATGTCGTTCCCCTTGCTCTCCTGGGCTCATGTCGCAGCATCGGGGAGGGTGAGCAGACGCAGGGTGGGTTGTACGTCCACAACTCCGTCTGTGCCCGACCCATACCCTACAGGAGGCTTTACGGGGTGCCGGTATAGTGGCAGCGGTGATTCTGTTCAGTGATGCGACCCATCTGACATTTAATGGGAGGCAGCTGGCTCACCCGATGATGTTCTCGCTGGACAACATTCCCGAGGCCAGCCGATGGCTGGAAGGTGGCGTGGAGATGGTAGCACTCTTCCCCCCGCTACCCGCAGCCTTGACACCTGAGCAGAAGACGGAGCTCATGCACGAGATGCTGCGGCTGGTACTAGGGCCTCTCATGCGGGCATCATCAGTCGAGAGGTACGTTGCGGCCAAAGGCGTGGGAGGTGCCATCCGTAAGCGGTGTAGTGTCCCAGGCCGGGGTGAGTTGAATAACCCGATGATCACACTTGCTTCTACCGACGTCCGGGCCCCGTCTTGCGCAGTGGGGGAATCATGGTCACCTATCATTTGGGGCGGAAACAGAGGGTATTTCCACTCCTGAGCAAGTACGTGTGCGACCACACCAAGTCGTGCATGGTGACATGCACATGGGCAGCCACGTCGAACCAACCTTGCTCTATGTGCCTCGTGAGCAAGTGGGACCTGGCGGATCTGACCCTGGAAAGCACCACACGCACCGTGAAAGGCCAGAAGGACGTGTACGAGCGGATCGAGGGTACCAACCCGAAGAAGCGCAAGAGAGTTAAGTCTGCATGGTGCACACACTTTGTGAAGGTGAGTGACCCTCTGAGAGGCTCGGTGTGGGGGTCAGGCAGTTGAACGATTGTTTGCACAACCCTAAGTGAGCGATTACGCGCGGGGATAACATCATTAGCTTTGTGCGGTTTGGCAGTGCGCACTGTGGGAATGGGCGCACGTCGACACACCCTGGGGGAACCTCTACGAGGTCATCGGAATATGCATCATGCACGTGGTGGACGAGGGGGTGTGGCTGCACACCATGCGATGCCTGGTGGCGAAATTAACCCCCATCGAGCAGCTCCTTCTTCTAAGGTACTGAGTGCGGATTTTTGTGGGGTTGTGGCGTGGTGCCGTAAACATGTGATGTAGCACTGCGCGGTTGAAAGCGTGTTTGCTCATGTCTTACTTTGACGTTGCATTGCTTGTGGCCGCAGCCAGTGCGAGGCCGTCATGGCAGTGACGCCACCGTCTCTTCTCCGGCATCCGGACCCATCGGCATACTTTGGGACGGTGTCCCAGTACGCCGCATGGGAGCACCGGGCCATGATGCAGATTGTCCCGCTAGTCGCTCACCTGCCTGGCCACGAGGACATTGCCCGCGTGGTCATCCTCTTCAACGAGTGGTACCGCGCGTATTTCCGCGTGGCGTATCACACGGAGGCGTCTCTTCAAGATGCAACGAGGAAGACCCTTGTGTAAGCGGGTTTGTCATTCCCACGCCTGGCTGGCACCAGCCTCCACCATGCCCCTGCACCTCGAGCCCCTCCCCTCACAAGACACTCTCTGTCCCGCACCGGCCTCTGATGCCTCTGACTCTCATGCCCTTGCCTATAAGGCCACTCCCTCCAATGCCACTCGTCATCATGCCCCTGCCTCTCAACCCTTAATCCCCTCATGCCCCGACCTGCCCTTGGCCATAGTTCTCATGCTATTAGGCAGCGACAGGTTCTCATACCACTGCAGCAGACGCCCCTGCCTCTAATGCCCTTTCCTCCCCCGCGGTGGACTTTCATGCAAGTGACTCTCTTGCTGCGCACTCTCATGCCCCTGCCCCTGCCCGCATATCATGCCCCAGCCTTAGATGCTCCGCACAATTACGCCCTTGCAGCATCTGCTCCTCCCAGCTAATGCACATGCCCCTCATGCCACTGCCCTGCATCGCCATACCTCTCACGCGTTGCTGTACGATGCTGCGCAGGTTGGTCGCGGAGCTGAAGCTCGTCTTCCCCAAGCAGTCGTCGCAGTGGCGGCTGCCGAAGGTGCATCTTCTCCGGCACCTTCCGCATGCCATCAGGATGCATGGCATCCCGTCGGAGCAATCGACCAACACCTACGAGGCCATGCATAAGCGATGCTGCAAATGGCCTGCACGGAACTCGAACTGGCGGGACGTGGGCAGAGACATTGCGGTTCGCCACGCACGCAACGAGGCAATCAGGGGCCTGGGTCGGGAAGAGGGGGGTAGGACGTACGAGACGGCCATGCGCACGGTGAGTTATTTCGGGTCATGCATGCATGGAGCGGTGATGCTCCATGTGACAGTACTTCCATAATGATGTCCCGTATTTGCAGTCAACTCATCATGGTCATGTTTGGTTCTCATTTACGCTCTTTTCCATTCCCATCGTACGGTGCGTGGGCACAGGCGGTGAATCACAACACCCGGGTGCTGACCCGACGTTCACGGCGCATGGCAGTGGGGGATGCGCAGGACCCGGTCTGGGCGGAATACGGCGCCGCGCTGGGCAGCGTCGTGATGGATGGGATCGCATGGGTGATGCAGCGTGTGGGGATCGCTGCGTCAGGCGTGCAGGTGATGCCTCGTCCATGAGTGGGTGCAAGGGGGCCTAACCGGGCATGGGTTACCCATGGGTACAAGGTGGTCAGTAGTGCCATGTTATTGCGTTTGAGGGGGACCTTCACGTGATGCCCGGAGCCATTCTTGTCGTTGTCTGCAGTGCACACCGCGCTGGCGATACCCCCCCATGACCGCCTCTTGGGCCGCGGGCCAGGGCACATGGTGAAGGCAGCGCCGGGTGAAGGGAAGTTCAGCTACGTGTCGATTGATGGGGGGGAAGGCGAGTGGTATGCACGGTGCCTCATGCTCTTCCATTTCATGGACGACGAGGCCCAGATTCACAGGCGCGCCGTGGTGCGGTACTTCGACGAGCATCCCACTCCATGCCCCGTGACGGGATGCGTGAGGCTCTTGCCAACGGAGGGAGAGGATGAGTATGCCGTTGTCGAGGTGGAGAGCATTCTGTCCCTTGCCCACATTGTCCCGTGTTTCACAGAGCCCCGGTTCTCTTTGGTGAATCGGTTCCTGTTTGATGAGTGATGGGGGCGGAAAACATGTTGCAGCCGTGTGGTTGTGCGCAGGGCTCTTGCTAGGATTCAGGCACGTCTGACATCCCCCCCAAAAAAAATCGTTTCGTCTGACCTTCAGACGGGCAAAATTTTTGGGTCTGTTTTTTCAGATGAAAGTTGGAGCTATGTCTGTTTTTTAAGACGATTTTTGTTGCATGGTCTGATTGCACTCTACACTGGCCGGCCATAATACGGTAGAAATCTGAGTTCACTAAGTACGAAATGAATAAGTCGCTGACTAACATGACAGGCGTGACCAGCCAGGTGGCGAGGGGGACTGGTACAGGGGGAGGACCGTGTTCTGTTGAATTTGTGCGACGACCAGGGGGAATGAACTGGGGCTGGGAGAGGATCGAGGGACCGGGGCGGGGGAGAGTGGGGGGGGGGGGGGGGGGGGGTGGTGTTGACTGGTAGAGGAGCGAGGTTGACTGCGGGGGGCTGGACTGCTAGAGGAGCGAGGGACTTCGGGGAGGCTCCTGGTACTGTACAGTCGAGGAACGAGAGACTGGGGGGCGGGGGGGGGGGGGGGGGGTGGGGGCTTGCAAGGAACATGTGGTAGGCAGGTTTGTGTCAAATGTTTATATATTCTATATGTTGTTAGATAGGCTACTGTGAGTTGCCCTCTAAAGGGTACAACACTTTAGGTCGACATTTGCATCTCCTTGTCCCTCCTTACTCAAACATTTTACTCTCGACACTTGCCTCCTAGCCTATCTTAAGATGGTATTAGAGTAGGTTTTTTACTCCCTCCCACGCTTCCACTCCCTCCCTTAGCCGGTCCCGAGGCGCCCGTCCCTTAGGCCCCGTTTCGTCGCGGGTAGGACGGCCCCCGCGGGCCTCGTTTTCGTCGCGTTTAAGGGCCCCCGCGGGCCTCGTTTTCGTCGCGTTTAAGGGCCCCCGCGGGCCTCGTTTTTCGTCGCGTTTACAGGGCCCCACTGGCCCCTCGTTTCGTCGCGCTCCAGAAGGGACTCTCCCCCCCCCCCCCCCCCCCCCCGCGGGCCCGCGTAGTCGTTCTTAGCCCGCAGCAGCGCGCGCGTTAGCCAGCGGCAGCCGCGCACGCCACTGCAGCACGCGCATTGCAGCAGCAGCGCGTGCTTTGCTGCAGCAGCACGGCTAGGCAGCAGCGCGTGCATTGCAGCAGCAGCACGGCTAGGCAGCAGCGCGTGCATTGCAGCAGCAGCACGGCTAGGCAGCAACGTGTCCATTGCAGCAGCAGCACGGCTAGGCAGCAGCGCGTGCTCCTGCAGCAGCAGCACGGCTAGGCAGAAGCTAGCCGCCAGCAGCAGCTAGCCACCGGAACCTAGCCGCCAGCAGCTGGCGCCAGCTAGCCCCTCCCACCCGCCCACAGCCCCTTTCAACCGCTCACAGCCCCTTCCAACCGCTCACAGCCCCTTCCAACCGCTCACAGCCCGTTCCAACCGCTCACAGCCCCTTCCAACCGCTCACAGCCCCTTCCAACCGCTCAGAGCCCCTTCCAAACGCTCACATCCCCTTATCACGCGCGCACACCACCCAGGACCACCCGACCTCCGTTGGTTCGACACTCGCGTCACTCATACTCACAGTGTTTCGCACCGTCGCGGCTGGAGGCCGCTCCGCTTAGCTGTTTAGGCTAGTCCTGACGTTCGTTGTTAGCTAGGTCTCTCCTCGCTCCGCCAGCCCCTCGAACGACCCTCTGGCTCCTCGATCGGCTCGTCAGCCCTGCCTCCTCCAGCCGTGTGCTCCTAGGTCAGCTAACTCCCAGCTCCGTTCGTTACTAGACTGGCGTTCCTAGCTCAGTTTTCCTCCGTACTCCAGCAGTACCTCGCCTAGTCCCACCTGGCGCTCCTCGCTCCTAGCTCCGTTTGCTCCGTGCTCCAGCTGTTCCTAGCCTAGCGTCCAATATGGACTCCTCCCGCCGCCTTCGTTTCGATGCAGAGGGGCGCCCGATAGAGTTCGGCACCTGGCTCCGCCAGACTCAGCGCTATCTCACCAGTCAGCGCCAGGACGGCGCCACCCTGTACGCCCACGCGTCCGGCGCCCTCCAGGCACCACCGCGTCCCGAGCCCCTCCCTGCCGTGCCCCCCCCGACTCCGGAGGCACAGGCGGACTACGCTCGTCTCGTCTTGGCGCGGGACGTTTGGGACTCCCGTGACGCTGCGGCTGCACTCGCGCTGACCGAGCTCCTTCCACTGACTGAGGCCGCTCACTTCGACCTGGTAGAGACTGCGAAGGAGGTGTATGATGCTATTTCTGCACGCTATTCCACCCCTTCCTCTGCCTCCCTCAGCCGCATCCTCATGCCGTTCGTGTTTCCCGACCTCGGCTCTTTTGCGACTGTCTCTGACCTAGCCACACACTTGCGCTCCCTTGTCGCTAGCTACCGAGCAGCTTGCACTGAGGCTCAGCTTCTTGTTGCTCCTCCTCCTATTTGGCTCACAGTCCACTGGGTAGTCACTCGTCTCCCTGACCGCCTCTCCACTGCCCGTGACGCACTTCTCCAGCATCACCCCAGTGAGCTTACGATTGATCTTCTCGAGACCACTCTCGGGAAGATCGAGAGTAACCTCCTCTCTGTTGCCTCAGCCACTGACGCAGTTGCCCCTCGTTTGTTTGAGGGGTGTGCTGTCCCCCAGCTTCCTACCTTCACTGCTACACGTGCCTCTGCTGCTGTGTCGGTTTCTGAGGACACTGCAGCTGTTTCTGCCGCTGACAGGCAGAAACGGGGCAAGGGGGGCAAGAAAGGGGGGAAGGGGGGTGGCGGCGGTGGAGGAGGTGGCGGTGGTGGAGGCGGCCCTGGGGGCGGCAGTGGTGGCGGTGTTGCCCCAGGCGGAGGGAGCTCTGGAGGAGGTGCTGACCCACCTGCTGGAGGAGGTTCGACCAGCGGTGGTGCGGGGCCCCAGCAGCAGCAGCCACAGCAGCAGCAGCCACAGCAGAGACAGCAGCTGCACCAGGGACAGCAGCAGTGGCAGGCACCACAGCAGTTTCAGACGTGGGGACCCCCACTGCAGTGGGGTCCGCAGCAGCACTGGGGCCCTCCGCCACAGTGGGGACCTGGAGGACCCGGGAGCACTGGCCGCAGCAGCAGCACTACCAGCTGGGCCCCTCGCCCCCCGCGGCGCGACACCGGCCCCTGCGACCACTGGTGCGTCACCGGACCTGGCAGTCCCTGTGTCTGCGGCCGCGACGACCACTCTGCAGCGCGGTGCTTCCGCCGCCTCGACGACCTCTACCGTGCACGCTGGGGTCCTGAGGCGACCACCCCGCGCTGGGCTCGCCTGCTAGCCCGTAAGATTCCTGTATTTGAACTGTCTATGGACGATGCTCGTCAGTATGCTTTGTATGCTGATGTTGACTATAGTGCTGATGGATTTGTGTGCTCGCGTGTTCGTAGTCTAGGATGCTTGCCTCCTGTTAGTGTAGACCTGTGCCTCTCTAGTCTAGGTGCTTGTGTTTCTGCTCTAGGTGCTTGTGTAGCCTCCGGACCTGACACGCCTCCGGCTGAGGCGTCTCTGTCGTTCACGCTGGACTCTGGCGCGTCGCAGTGTTTCTTCCGCGACCACACGACCCTCACACCACTTCTTGCTCCGGTTCCGGTAGCTTTGGCTGATCCTTCTTCAGGACCAGCCGTTGCGCGCAGCTCCACCACCCTCCCGTGCCCTGTGGTCCCCTCTGGTGTCTTGCGCGGCCTCCACATCCCCTCGTTCACTCGGAACTTGGTGGGTGTTGGATACCTCCAGGACAGGGGGATCACCGTTACCTTTGTGGGGGGGGGGGCGGACTGCAGTCTGTACTGACGCTACCACAGGTGCTGTTCTGGCCACGTTCACCAGGGAGCCCCGCTCCGGTCTCTACGTTCTCCACACCGAGCGCTCCCCGGTCGCGTCCTCCCCTCAAGTTGTTGCGTCCCCTCCGGCTCAGGTCCCCAGTCCAGTTGCTGTGTCTAGCCAGGTAGTCGTGTCCAGTCCGGTCGCTGTGTCCAGTCCAGTCGCTGCGTCTTGCTCCTGTCGCTCTCTCGCCCACCGCACCGTCCTGTGGCACCACCGTCTTGGCCACCCGTCGATCCCTCGCCTTCGTGGCATGCTCAGTCAGGGACTAGTCACAGGTCTCCCACGCACCTTCCCGTCGCTCCCTCTCTCGCTTGCCCCTCCTTGCTCTCCGTGCGTCGCCGGTCGCTTACGCGCCACTCCCCACTCCTCCTCCCTTCGTCCGGCCACCGCTCCCTTCGAGACTCTCCACTTGGACGTCTGGGGCCCTGCCCCGTCGCAGGGGTCTGGGAGGGAGCGTTACTTTCTGGTGGTCGTCGACGACTTCTCCAGGTACACCACAGTGTTCCCTCTTGCGAAGAAGTCCGAGGTGACTGCTACGCTGATCAGGTGGCTTCTAGCCACTGAGGGCACTCGTGGTCGTCGAGTCAGTTGTCTTCACTCCGACCGTGGGGGCGAGTTTCGCTCCGGCATTCTCGGCGGATTCTGCGGCGAACAGGGCATCACCCAGTCCTGGACGCTGCCAGAGTCCCCACAGCAGAATGGGGTTGCTGAGCGCCGCATAGGCTTGGTCATGGACATCGCCCGCACGTCCATGATTCATGCCCGTGCGCCCCATTTTCTGTGGCCCCACGCGGTTCGCTACGCCGCACACCAGCTGAACCTCCAGCCGCGTGTCTCGCGGCCCGAGGCTTCACCGACCAGTCTTTGGACTGGATCCCCTGGTGTTGGGTCGGCCTTTCGAGTCTGGGGCTGCCTTGCACTTGTTCGCGACACCTCCGCGGACAAGCTCTCGGCACGCGCCGTCCCATGTGTCTTCCTTGGTTTCCCAGTGGACTCTGCTGATTGGTCCTTTTACCACCCTCCCCTCCACCAGTTCCTAGACTCCCGTGACGTCCGGTTTGACGAGTCCGTGTCCTACTACACCCGGTACCCCTGTCGAGGTCTCCCGGTACCCCCTCCCCCTCTCTTCCTCGCACCCTCTCCTCCTCCTGCTCCCGCTCCTCCGGTACCCCCGCCCCCCCCAGGTCCTGCCCCGTCTGGTGTGTCCCACGCTACCCCTCTACCCTCGGTCGCGCGTCAGGTAGCGTCTCCCTCCCCGCAGTCCTCCTCACAGTCCCCTCAGCAGCCTTCGGCACTTCCGCGACAGGTTACTTTGGACTCGGTTGGTGTTGGCGCTGGAGGTGCAGCCGCTGGCGGTGCTCGGTCTGGGGGTGCTCGGTCGCGGGGTACTGGAGCTGGAGGTGCTGGCGCACGTGACGCTAGCTCTGGGGGTGCTGGAGCTGGAGGTGCTGGCGCAGGTGGCGCTAGCTCTGGGGGTGCTGGAGCAGGAGGTGCCGGCACTGGAGGTGCTGGTTCTGGGGGTGCTGGAGTTGGGGGTGCTGGCACTGGCGGTGCTAGTTCTGGGGGTGCTGGAGTTGGAGGTCCTGGCACTGGCGGTGCTGGTTCTGGGGGTGCTGAGTCTGAGGGGACTGACGCTGGAGACCCTGGTTCTGCGGAGTCCACTCCGCCTCCCCACCGCCACGACACGCGTCTCCAGGCTGCCCGTCGGCGTGAGCGTGAGGAGCAGGAGCGGTTGGAGAGGGAGCGGCAGGAGCTGCGGGTGCTGGACCTTCTGGAGCAGCAGCGGCAGCAGCAGCAGCAGCAGCAGCAGCAGCAGCAGCGCAGCCGCCGCCGCAGCCGCAGCAGCAGCAGCCGCAGCCGCAGCAGCAGCGGCCGCAGCCGCCACCGCAGCTTCCTCTGGAGCGGCGGTTGTTCCCACCTGTGAGTGGCCTGCGGGCCCTTGGCCTTTCCTCCTCTCCTCCTGTCCGCTCCCAGTCTCCTCCTGTGTTTGTTCCTCCGTTGCCTCCTCCTGACGACCGTCCGGCGGTCTGGTCTTCTCCTCCTCCCTCTGTCCGTCGCGACCTGATCACTCGTTGTCCTCCGCGTGCTCGTCACTCGTCCCCTGTTACTGACCTCCACACTGCCCTCCTTTGTTCGTCTCGTCGTCGTTCTCCTTCTCCTGTGTCCGTTCTCCCGTCTCCTCCTCCGTCCTCCCTACCAGCCCTCCCCACTCCTATCTCTGACTACTACCGCGTTGTTCGTCCTGTTGCCGCACGTGTCCTCGCCACTCTTGTCACCGACTCTCGTTTCCCTCCGTCGTCTGCCTCGGCTCTTACTGCCGCTGTCGCTGAGTTTGCTGCCGCCAGCCACCTTGACTACGCCACCCGTGTGGTGCCAGCTCCTCCCTACCGTCCTCTGTCCGTCGGGGGTGGGTTTGCCCTTGGCTGTGACGTCCTAGAGGACAGAGAGTCTGAGCTGGAGTACTGGGCAGCCGCTTCTCCCTCTGTGTGTGCCATGCTGCTCTCCCCTGAGGGAGACCCCGACGCCCTTGACATACCGACTCCTCGCACTTACCGCGAGGCAGTGTCAGGGGCGTGGGCCTCTCAGTGGAAAGCGGCTATGGACTCAGAGTTGGCGTCTTGGAGATCCACAGGCACCTACGTCGACGCAGTTCCCCCTCCCAGGGCGAACGTAGTCGATGGCATGTGGCTCTTCAAGGTGAAGCGGCCGCCTGGAGCACCGCCGGTGTTCAAGGCGCGCTACGTGGCTAGGGGCTTCAGTCAGCGTGAGGGAGTTGACTTCTTCCAGACCTTCGCCCCGACCCCGAAGATGACTACTCTTCGGGTGTTACTCCACATAGCAGCGCAGCGAGACTACGAGCTGCACTCCCTCGACTTCTCCACTGCGTTCCTCCAGGGCCGACTACACGAGGAGATCTGGCTGCGCCGTCCTCCTGGCTTCACTGACACCTTCCCACCTGGGACCCAGTGGAGCCTGAGGCGACCAGTCTACGGTCTCCGCCAGTCGCCCCGTGAGTGGCACGACACTCTTCGCTCCACGCTTCGTGACCTTGGGTTCAGCCCGTCCTCCGCCGACCCGTCGCTGTTTGTTCGAGCGGGTTCTACTCCTTTCTTTATCCTTGTCTATGTCGACGACTTGGTGTTTGCTACAGCAGACAGGGCAGCCCTGGCTCAGGTGAAGTCCGAACTGCAGAAGAGACACAAGTGCACTGACCTGGGTGAGCTGCAGCGCTACCTTGGCCTGCAGATCACCCGGGACAGAGCCGCTCGCACCATCACACTGACGCAGTCACACATGGTGCAGCAGATCCTTCGGCGGTTCGACTTCCAGTTCTCCACCACACAGCCCACTCCTCTTGCTGTTGACCACAGACTCACGGGCCCCTTTCCTGACGAGCCCTTTGAGTCCAGTGGACCCTACGCAGAGCTGGTGGGCTGCCTCATGTACCTGATGACTTGTACTCGACCGGACCTCGCCTTTCCACTCAGCATCCTTTCTCGCTTTGTTGCGACTGGGAGACACCGCCCTGTCCACTGGACAGCTGCTGTGAGGGTGGCGAAGTACCTGGCGACTACATCAGGCATGGGGCTTGTGCTTGGAGGGACTCAGCCAGTGGCGTTGACTGGTCACTGCGACTCTTCCTACGCTGACGACGTGGAGACTCAGCGTTCGACTCAGGGTTACTGCTTCAGTCTGGGAGCTGGTGCTGTGTCGTGGAGGTCTACACGGTCGTCGTCTGTGGCTACTTCCAGTGCAGAGGCAGAGATCTACGCTGGTGCCATGGCGGCACAGGAGCTTCGCTGGTTGACCTTCTTGCTCGCCGACCTTGGTGAGCGGCCTCGCTCTGCACCGACCTTGTACGCTGACAACAAGGCCATGATCCTCCTGTGTCGAGAGCCTCGACTGGAGAGCAGAGTGAAGCATATTGACGTGAGGTACTTCCTCCTGCGAGAGTTGCAGCGACGCGGTCAGGCACGTTTGGACTTTGTGGCCTCACAGGCCAACACTGCCGACGTCTTCACCAAGGCCTTGGCGCCTGGTGACCACCACAGGTTCTGTGTGCAGTTGGGGCTTGTTGAGGTAGGCCCTCGGTTGCTGTAGACTTGCTGTTTGCTCTACTTGTTGTGCTTCTATATATACTAGTAAACTCTTGAACTGGCCTTGTGGCCACTTGCTTGTGCTCGGAGTGTGTGGTGACTCTGAGCGCCACCCTGAGCTTTGTTTTTTTTTATGCTTGTTCTTGACTGGTCTTGTGACCCCTTGTTTCCGTTGGTTGTTTTGATGCCCCTCACTTAGCCTATGGGGGTGTGTCAAATGTTTATATATTCTATATATTGTTAGATAGGCTACTGTGAGTTGCCCTCTAAAGGGTACAACACTTTAGGTCGACATTTGCATCTCCTTGTCCCTCCTTACTCAAACATTTTACTCTCGACACTTGCCTCCTAGCCTATCTTAAGAGTTTGGGACAGATTCGGGTCAGATAGACGGTGGGTTAGGTTTGGGGACAAAAACTCATTGACCCAGAACTGACCCTGTTCTGACCACTAACCCTAATTTGACCCCAAAGGAACTCTGGGGGCATTTCCAGGACAGGCCTGGGTCAGGCTGGAAGGTGGGTCACGCTAGGGTCAGAAACATTTTGGTGATGGAAGGTTGAACCAATTCGACCCTTCTTGGCCTCCAGTTTTAAAAATTGCAGCCTATATCTTTGTAAGTGCGTTGTGTGTTGTAAACATACAAGATTGCATGTGCTGGTACGTGTGAGTTGGCAGTTGTCCTCTGTACACGATGTTGTCGTACGCAGAAAGGAATGTTACCATAAGAAAATTTCTCACCTCCTTTCCCCTTCCTTAGGTCACTTTCGTTTCGTAGTAATACATCTTATATCGTACATGAGGGGTGTCTAAAATGTGTTAATAATAATATAATAAAATAACTGTCACTTCCGTGTGCGAACCAACCAAAACCAAGGATTTGAAAACCGTGAAATTTCCACACCTATACGGTCACGGCTAAAAATTGCAGCCGATGCCTTTGTAAAAATGTTGTGTGTTGTAAACATATAAAATTACATGTGCTAGTAAGTGTGAGAGGTCTTTGTTAGAGGTGCAATCTAATCTAGATAGTGAGGATTGCACAAAATTGGCAAAACAAGTACTAATGTGAGCGAAGGCATGAGCAAACCTTTTAAACGTAACATGCAAATAGTAATGGAATGCGTGCGAGCTAGCTAGTGTGATGCCAGCATGATGGCACGATGCCAGCAGTACAGTATATGCCTCTCTGGTCAGTGGGAAGGGAGGGCGGGGGAGGTTCCCTCGCTGTGGCGTTGGCTCTCAGATGTGGAAAGGCGGTGGCAGTTTGGCTGCTACTAGTGAGGCGCCTCAGAAGTCTTCAGATTTGAAAAGGCGGTGGTGATTTGGCTGCTGTTAGTGAGCTGTACTTTGATAGCCCCCAACTCCTTGCCATTGTTTGCTGCCACACCCTGCAGATTTATCATGGATGTGGGATGGGGTTGGGGTGGGAATGGTGTGAGAGGAGCTCTTGGTAAGCAGGGGTTGCTGCTAGTGAGCTGTACTTTGGTAGGCCCCAATTTCTTGCCATTGTTTGCTGCCACACCCTGCAGATTAACCGAGGGGGGGGATGGGGTGGGGGTGGGGGTGGGGATGGGGGTGGGGGTGGGGGTGGGGATGGGGGTGGGGGGAGGGAAGGAGGGGAGAGAGGAGATCTCACGTCATCCCACACCCCATGCTGTCACATCATCACGCACCCTACAGTCCTCCCCTGCACCCAAAGTTCAGCAGCTCTATCTGCACGCCCAGCGAGTGCTGCATCGCGTCCAGCTGCCGCTCCAACTGCAGCAGAGCAACTCACTCACCCACCCACCCACACACCCACGCCCACACTGCTCCCCTCACCCATGCTGTCACCCCCATCGCTCACCTCCAGTCCTCCACCATATCCTTGGGGTCTAGGTTCAGCAGCTCTATCTGCACTCCTAGGGACTGCTGCAACGCGTCCAGCTGCCAGGCAACCCACTCACTATCCCCCATTCCCATGCCCATGCCCATGCCCATGCCCATGCCTGCCCGCTTACTGACCCATGCTGTAAGCCCATCGCTCACCTCCAGTCCTCCACCATATCCTTGGGGTCTAGGTTCAGCAGCTCTATCTGCACTCCTAGGGACTGCTGCAACGCGTCTAGCTGCCAGGCAACCCACTCACTATCCCCCATGCCCATGCCCATGCCCATGCCCATGCCCATGCCTGCCCGCTTACTGACAGCCCATCGCTCACCTCCAGTCCTCCACCATATCCTTGGGGTCCAGATTCAGCAGCTCTACCTGCACTCCCATGCCATCCGAACCCCATAAACATTACTAATCTATAATCCTCGCTCACCTCCAGTCCTCCACCATATCCTTGGGGTCCAAATTGAGCAGCTCTATCTGCACTCCCAGGACTGCTGCAACGCGTCCAGCTGCCGCTCTAGCTGCCGTGTGGGCAGGCGGATGGGCATGGCGATGACCCCCTCCATCAGGAACAGCATGGTGCCTCCGAAGGGAGCCTGGGTGGATGGGGAAACGGAAGGGGGAGTAGGAGGGGGAGAGGCAGGGGTTTCACATGGTGAGAGACACATGAATGGGCATGGCGATGACCCCCTCCATCAAGAACAGCATGGTGCCTCCGAATGGCGCCTGGGTGGATGGGGAAACGGAAGGGGGAGTAGGAGGGGGAGAGGCAGGGGTTTCACATGGTGAGAGACACATGAATGGGCATGGCGATGACCCCCTCCATCAAGAACAGCATGGTGCCTCCGAATGGCGCCTGGGTGGATGGGGAAACGGAAGGGGGAGTAGGAGGGGGTGAGGCAGGGGTTTCACATGGTGAGAGACACATGAATGGGCATGGCGATGACCCCCTCCATCAGGAACAGCATGGTGCCTCCAAATGGCGCCTGCGTGGGGCAGACGATGGGGGAGTGGGAAGGGGATTGGCAGGCGGATGGGCCAGGACGAAAGGCAGAGTGCACGGCGGGGATTACACAGGGTGAGAAGCAGACGGATGGGCTTGCGAGCACAGAAAGGTACTTACTCAGATTATCCACCAGCCTAGGATTTTGAGGTTATATATATAGATATATAAAACCGGTTCAGCACAGAAAGGTACTGAATCACATTGTCCTCGAGCCTTGGATTGTACATGTCCTTTCTGCAGCAGCCACACACCCATACTTGTCTGTGACTGACCTCCCACTCCAGCATTCCCTCACCTCCTCTGTGAATGTCTCCAGGTTCTCGATGTTGATGTTCTTGGATACCCTCCCCTCTGCAACCCCCCAACTCCAGAGCTCCTTCACCTCTTCTGTGAATGTTTCTAGATTCTCGATGTTGATATTCTTAGACGACAGGTACTCTGTCACGTTGTAGACCAGCCCTGGGTTGTCCGCCCCCCGCAGCACCAAACCACATCACACCACTCCCACGGGAGCAACAGAAGAACTTCCCTCACCTCCTCAGTAAATGTTTCTATATTCTCGATGTTGATGTTCTTGGACGAAAGGTACTCAGTAACATTGTACACGCGCCCGGGGTTGTCGGCCCCTCGCAGCACTAGCCGCCGGAACTTGCGCTTGGGTGCCGTCTCGTCACTGCGCTCGTCCACCGTCCACCGCGTGCTCACCTGCACATGGGGGCATGAGGGCACAGGGTTACATTTACATGTGGGATGGGGGGTCAACACGTGATCAACTCCCATTTCGTCTCGTCACTGCGCTCGTCCACCGTCCACCTCTTGCTCACCTGCACATGGGGGCATGAGGGCACAGGGTTACAGGGACATATGGGGTGGTGGGGGATCAAACACCTCCTGGTCTCTCGTCACTGCGCTCGTCACCGTCCACCGCGTGCTCACCTGGAGAGGGGGCATATACATAGGGTTACAGTTACATATGGGATGGGGGATCAAACACCTCCTGGTCTCTCCTCACTGCGCTCGTCCACCGTCCACCGCGTGCTCACCTGGGCATGGGGATGAGGTTCGTTGAATGTGGGTGTGGGTAGGGTTGAATGGGTGCCTCAAAAACCTCTCCCCCTTCCCCTCACTGCACTCGTGTACTATTCACCGTGTGCTCACCTGCACACGCGGGGTAGGGTGTGGTATGCGTGTGGGACTTGGGCTGGGAATTGGGTTGAGAGTTGGGATGCGGGTTGGGTTGCGGATTAGAGTGTGGCTTTGGGTCAGAGTTCGGTTGGGCTGGATAATAGTAGGTTTGGTTCGTTGCACTTTTCACCAGCACCCCTCCATCTCACCTGCAACCCCCCACTCGCGCCCGTCCCCATCCCTCTCACCGTCACCCCTTCTTTCTCCCTCTCATCAGGACCCCAACCTCGCTCTCTCACCCGCACCCTCCTCCCTGCCAACACCTCCACTCCTCCCCCTCCCACTCTCCTGACCCCTCCCCACCCCTCCCCACCCCTCCCCACCCCGCCCTCTCACCTGCAGCCCTTGAACTTCCAGCAGCTTGAGCCGAAGGTCCTCCGCTATCCGGGGCGATCTGAAGACGAATGGGATGGAGGGCAGGCAGGCGACGGGTTTTTGAGGCGCCTAAAACTTCATCTCACTTCCAGCAGCTTGAGCCGAAGGTCCTCCACTATCCGGGGCGATCTGAAGACGAATGGGATGGAGGGCAGGCAGGCGACGGGTTTTTGAGGCGCCTAAAACTTCATCTCACTTCCAGCAGCTTGAGCCGAAGGTCCTCCGCTATCCGTGGCGACGTAACTGAGGGAGGAGGATGGAGGGCAGGCAGGCGGCGGGCCAGCGTGAGTTTTTTGGGGCGAAATGAGACGCTGGAAGGGTGTTGCGGGGTCTCGCGACGCACTCACAAGCCACTCAGAGCATTCAAGGCATTCAAGGCGTTCAAATACATCAGAGCACTCACGACACTCAGTGCGGTCAGCGCACTCACGTGGCGTCGACGCGGATGAGCATGATGATGGAGAAGTCCCCAGCCAGCCTTGCCAGACGCGGCTCCTCCACGTTCCCCCCGCACTACAGAGTGAAAGAGACACTCAAGGCATACTCAGCACACGCGGCGCACGCACGTGGCATCCACACGTATGAGCATGATGATGGAGAAGTCGCCCGCCAGCCGCGCCACTCCTTCACATTCCCCTCCATTCCTGAGAGAGGCCAGACAAGGCACTCAGCGGCGCAGTCAGCGCACTCACGCCCCCCAATACACTCACGTGGCGTCGACGCGGATGAGCATGATGATGGAGAAGTCGCCCGCCAGCCGCGCCATGCGGCTCTCCTCCACGTTCCCGCCGCACTCGAGGATGCGCTTCGCCAGCGTCGAGATGATGCCTAGTCTGTTTGGGGTTGATGCCGTTACCACCAGATGTCGATCAGGGGACGCGGCTGGCGGAGGGAGGAGTGGTTGAGAGGAAGGGTGGGAAGGGGAGAGAGGAGGAGGGGAAGAAAGGATGCAACAGAAACAATTGATGTAATAATGGGGAGGATACGAAGTGATCATTCCCCGTGTCGTACTCCCCTCGTTGCCTCCAGAGCCAATTTTGAATTTTGACGAAGTCCACACCCGTCATCCCTGTTTGTTGAATCAACAGAAACTCACTCTGCAACTGGAATCCCTGAATATGTGGCATTAGTCGGCGGTTATATTCATATCGCGACACTCACCAGTGTCCTTGGAGCGACTCGCTATGTCTTGCCAGAACGCGTCGCTTCCATTTCTGAACTCGCGACACGCTTCTCTCAGCTGCTTCGAGACTACTACGGCTGCTGCCGACCTGCCACCTGTCGCAATGAGACGCCGCAGCGCTAGCATGGCCGCTCTGTTGCCACTACTGATGAATGTCGAAGCGCCAATGCGCTTAGCGCCAACGAGGAGATGCTATAGGGTTTCGATAAAGTTAAGGATTACGTCACGAATTCCACAATGTGGTACTTCGATCAGCTAGCGGAGTAAGAGACTGGAAGGGAAAAGACGCTCGACAAGGATGCAAGAGGCGAAGCGTGTGCGATCGTTACTTCACCGATAGTGTACTAAATTCCCTAGCACAAGGCGACAGTCACGGGAAGATAGTAAACATAGGTTGGTTGGTAGCCTTGCTCTTCATAAAGGTTGATCAGCACTGGTGGGAGGAAAATAGGGATGAGCAATGGTTTCACGTCTGTAAGGTGGAGTTGAGTGCTTGGTGGGCAATGGTTTCACGTCACCATCTCTCTCTCTCTCTCTCTCTCTCTCTCTCTCTCTCTCTCTCTCTCTCTCTCTCTCTCTCTCTCTCTCTCTCTAATGGTCCTTGTATTGATATAGCAGGAAAGTACAAGCATGCAAGTCATACAGGCATAGGTAACAACCAAGCAAGAATCACAAGTCCTCCCTACAACTCCACAAAAGGCTCAATGACTGCAAAGCAGTCCCCAAGGTGTAACTCGTCCCCGATCCCCCCCACGGGCGGGTTCTCTACTGCCGCTGCCTCCCCTAGTTTGAGCAGGAGACCCACAGACTGGGCCCTTTGAAGGGCCACTGACCAGCGTTGCCTGAACTGGTGCAGGAACTTGGCAGCATAGAATGATTTGGAATCGGCGTTGAAGTGGCGCCTAGCTGCTGTGTCCGCCATGAGTTTCAGGAAGACTGGCACCTCTGCACAGGGGCAGCCATATGTATCTACCGCGAGAGGAAAAAAGTTCACCGTCTCTGGACGGGCAGCGTAGTGTCTGATCTTTTTGTCGGCCTGTTCCCTTGCCGCCCAGCCCCTGCCCTTCAGTGCCTCCGGATCTCGTGTACTAATGGGGTCTGTAACTGTGACGTCACACACGTAGACAGCACCGCTGCTTCTGTCCGTCATCGTAAAATTGGCGGTCTGTTCCTCAATGGGGCAGTAAGCCGTTGTCTCGTTGTGAACGATGAACCCCGCATCCTGGGCCATGCTAATACAAGCGTCCCGTGGCTCGTTGTGGGTGTTGATGCGGTGCTTGCCCGTGCCGCAGCGGAGGAGGTGGTTAGGGAGGCGGGGGTCCGTGATAGCCGTATGGTCTGAGCAGTCGCAGTTTTTCGGCGTGGAGAAAGGGAGGGCCAGCCGGAAGCATTGGAAAAGTTCACCGTCTCTCTCTCTCTCTCTCTCTCTCTCTCTCTCTCTCTCTCTCTCTCTCTCTCTCTCTCTCTCTCTCTCTCTCTCTCTCTCTCTCTCTCTCCTTCCTTCTTCTCCCACTCGTGTGCACCAGGCGACCGCCATTGTCAGATTGTGGGGTTCGTTTGAGTGAACTCAGAGGGTGACATCTGACTTTTGAGTCGACTCAGAAGCCACCTTGTGTGCCTCTCCCTCGTGCCTCTCCCTCGTGCCTCTCCCTCGTGCCTCTCCCTCGTGCCTCTCCCTCATGCCTCTCCCTCGTGCCTCTCCCTCATGCCTCTCCCTCATGCCTCTCCCTCATGCCTCTCCCTCGTGCCTCTCCCTCATGCCTCTCCCGAGTGCCTCTCCCGAGTGCCTCTCCCGAGTGCCTCTCACTCGTGCCTCTCTCTCCGGCCTCTCCCTCCGTGTGCACCAGGCGATCACCATCGTTCAAGTCGCGGGGTTTGGGGGAGCGGCAGACGCGCTGGGGGGGGCGTCGTATAACCCGCTCACGAACCTCATCAACTACCTCGCTGACGAGGACGACGAGACGGCGCTCGGCTTGCTGCTGCGCCTCCCCGCTCAGGTGCGGGCAGCACACAGATGACTGGCAGCACACAGATGACTGGCAGCACACAGATGACTGGCAGCATACAGATGACTGGCAGCACACAGATGACTGGCAGCACACATATGACTGGCAGCACACAGATGACTGGCAGCACACATATGACTGGCAGCACACAGATGACTGGCAGCACACAGATAACTGGCAGCACACAGATGACTGGCAGCACACAGATGACTGGCAGCACACAGATGACTGGCAGCACACAGATGACTGGCAGCACACATATGACTGGCAGCACACAGATGACTGGCAGCACACAGATGACTGGCAGCACACAGATGACTGGCAGCACACATATGACTGGCAGCACACAGATGACTGGCAGCACACATATGACTGGCAGCACACAGATGACTGGCAGCACACAGATAACTGGCAGCACACAGATGACTGGCAGCACACAAATGACTGGCAGCACACATATGACTGGCATCACACAGATGACTGGCAGCACACAGATGACTGGCAGCACACAGATGACTGGCAGCACACAGATGACTGGCAGCACACAGATGACTGGCAGCACACAGATGACTGGCAGCACACAGATGACTGTCAGCACACAGATGACTGGCAGCACACAGATGACTGGCAGCACACAGATGACTGGCAGCATACAGATGACTGGCAGCACACAGATGACTGGCAGCCTTTTTTTAATACGTCTTAAAAAATTCCCATGCCTCCCCGCCTGCCAGCCCTCTGCCCCCTGCCCCGCTCAGATGCTGACAGGGACCACAGGGCTGGCAGGGGACAGGGGAGGGCTGGCAGGCATGTGGGTATCCGTTGAGTGGGCTCTTAGAGTGTCTGGATCACGGCACTTTCTTTTGAGTGCTTTTCTAGAGTTCTCAAGAAACGCCTACAACAAGCTGGCAAGCATGGGTTGAGTGCGCTCTCATAGTGTCTGGATCACGACACATACCTCCCAGCACCGCACGACATGAAGCTTCTTTCTCGAGCCCATCCATCCCTCGAGGTTCATCCGAACCCCTCTCCTGTCCCCTTGCCTCCCCCTCTCACTTCACTCCCCTCCCACCCATCCACGTCACCAGGCAGGTGGCATCGTCATAGGCACCATGCTGACGTGGAATTTTGTCCCAGAGTGTCCATCCAACTCCCTTCCTGTCCATCCCAACCCCCTTGTTCCCCTTCCTTCCACCCCCCTTCCTGCCCCCCCTTCCTTCTATCCCCTCCACTCCCTCTCCCATCCACGTCATCAGGCAGGTGGCATGGTGATAGGTGCCATGCTGATGTGGGAGTTCATTTCGGAGTCCCTCAAGCACACAGTCAACGGGCCCTCGCTGCCACATGGCGTCTCGGTATTGGCCGGCGCGACAGCGGAGTTTACACTCACGTTTCTGCTGTTCCTGGTGGTGATGTGGCCGCTGTTCCTGGGCCCCAGCAGCGACCGCTTAAAGGAATTCATCATGGTCTCGGCCACAATAGTCACCATTGCTGCTGGCATGGGCTTCTCTGGTCCTTCCCTGAACCCTCTCTTTGTAAGCACCCTTTCTCTCTCCTGGTTCACTCACACTCCCACTCTCGCTCTTACCCTCTTGCTCTCACACTCTGATTCTCACTCACTCACTCGCGTACGCTCACTCTCACACACGCGCGTTTCTGCTGAACCTGGTGGTGCTGTGGACGCTGTCCCTGGGCCCCAGCAGCGACCTCTCGCTCGCATGTTTCCCCTCCTCCAGGCGTTTGGGTGAGTGCCTACATCGGATCAAGAGATGTTAGCCAAGCACTTGACGCTACCAGTCTGCATCGTCTCTTTAATCCTCCCCGCTCCCCTCCTGCAGGCGTTTAGGTGGACGTCACATTGGACCAAGAGATGTCGGTACTGCTCTTGCTGCTAATCAAGCTGCTCGCATACATGTTTCTCCTCCCCGCTCCCCTCCTCCAGGCGTTTGGGTGGGTGTACACATTGGACCAGGAGATGTCGGTGCAGCACTTCATAGTCTACTGGGCCGCGCCTACCGCCGGTGCCGTGCTCGCAGCAGCCTTCTACCGAATCTACCTGAAACCACACAAGGTGGCACTGGAGGCGAAACGGCGGAAGGAGAGGGAAGGGAAGGAAGGGAAGGAAGGGAGGGCTGAGGAGAGAGGGAAGGGGGAGGAGGAATCACTGAGGGAAAGCAGAGAAATGAAGGGGGTTGCGGCGGAGAGAGAGGGTGATGGGTTGCGAAAACGGGTGGGTGTGGGGGCGCGTGAAGAGGAGGAAGACGCTAGGGCTGGTGTGAATAGTGGTGGTGGTGAAGGGAGAAACAAAACAGAGTGATTGGGAGTGAGCAAGGAGAAGGGAGTTAGGAAGGAGCTGGGCTCAATATTTTTGTGTTGTCGTCGGATTGCCAAAAGGGCCCTAGTTTGGCGAGGTGCGGGGTACCAATATTAGTGTAGACGGCAAATCTCTTACCGGTAACCCAATCTATGTATCGCTCATATGTAGTCCGAGTCAGGGATTTTCGAGAGTGACGCGCAGCACGAGAGTGACATAGAGATGGGGTGGTGGTAGCAGCACACTGGCATGAGATGAAAGTTGGAGTAGCAAAATGTGCGAGTGATATGGTCAGACGTACAGCACCATGGGTAAAACATACAGCTTGAGAGCACTGGTTTGAGATTGAGGGTGGTGGGGTGAGGAAGCATGAGCACAAGATACGCAGCTGAACGCAGTGAAAATATCACCGTGCAAGAGAGTGTGGTGGGAAAAACCGAGATACTGCTGGCCATACGACGTGAAAAATCAGTGCATCAGGCCTCCATGTGGCTAACTAATAATACGTAAACTCAGCTTTTGTGATTTATAGTACCCTTGAGATGATGCAAAATATGCAGTAGAGCCCCATTAATAAACTGTTATTGAGGGACAATTTTGCATGAGAACAGGACTGTAACAGCAGTGGCAAAGTTGAACCTGCGAATTGGCCTGGCATCACGCCGCGACTATCGGCCGCGAATGTCGCAAAACCAAATCGCCCAGATGTTTTGGAAATGCCAGCTGGGCTGATCGCGTAGGCCCTGCCAGTGCTGGCTAGGGAAACTTTCGCAGCGCTGGAAGGAAATTCCATTCGCTGTCTTTCACTTCACACCAGCCTGCGATGCGATTCCAGCATTTGATTTGACCTGGCGCGAAAAAAGAATTGTCATTTCGCGAAATCGAACCTTTTGGAGATCCTTCTTCCTCTCCTCCCCTCCCTCCGAGAGCCTGAGGGTGCGTTCCTGGCTCGTGTCATACTTCCGGTCTTCCGGGGATGACACGAAGTTGCCCCACAGTTGGCCCCACTTTGGGTCAACCAAGACCCACTTCGGGTCTTCTGGCTAAAATTTGCCCCTGGTCTCGGAAAACACGAAGTTTGACCGGAAGTTTGACACGAGCCAGGAACGCACCCTGAGCCCTCTCCCTCTCCCAGAGACGTGGTGAACCTCTCCCAGTGTTCCAAAGAAACCTGCGCTGCGAAAATTCTTGCAGAAGTGCCTGGTTGGGTTTGCGCAGCTGCAAGGCTTGGGAGAGTCCAACATGGCGACGGTTTGCACGGCGAAACATGCGCAGCATTCCCGCCGCGTTGGACGCTGTGACAGCGTGTGACCGCCATGCACAGCATGACAAAGACAAACTATCCAACACCACAATTATCCATAGGAGTCCTATACTATATAACACGCTCGTCATCTCGCATTCTCATCAAGTAGGCCGCTCACCTTCCTCCCGAATATCCCAGCCCAGCCACCTCCTGTTCTGCTCACGGGCTATATTCCTCTCGCGCTTACTGTTTTCCCGATACGGTATCAATTCTTTGCCATGGCTCTGACGAAGCAAGGTGTTGCAACCACGACGGCGGTGCTGCCGGTGCTTCTGTTTGTGCTGCTCTTGACGTCAGCATCGTATACCACGGCTGGTAAGCTCCCGGTTCCCTTTTGAAGCATACGTATGGTGCATTCGGTTCAGATTCGTTTATGCTTGAGTGGCTGGATCTAGTATTCGTATCGTGGTGCATTCCCGTTCCGAACGGTATGATGAACTATCTGAGTCAGAATCAGCTTGTGGGTGAAGTTGTATACCCGCGTCAATGTTTTTCTATGCTGCATTGGATACTACTACTGGATTTGGTACATGATGGTAGTCTTCTGCTAAGGCCTTCCGTTGTTCTCTGCGCAGCAGCATCAAAGGGATTCCCCGCCTCGCGGCGCATTCTGCAAGTGGCACTTGGGATTGCTCACCGCGGCGGCTACCTAAAATCCGGCGAGACCGCCCCAACCGCCGTGAAAGTGGCAGCCCCGACCAAGACAGCCACCACGCCCATGAAAATGGCAAAACCGGAGACGGCGGAGCATCTCATGAATACTGGCAAAGTTCAGACAAAAATGGCGAAAACCTTGTCCACCTCGACCCCCACCGCCGTGAAAATTGCGAAAGCGTTGACCACCTCTGCCGTGAAAATGGAAGCACCGGAGACGGCGGAGCACCTGTTGCAGAGCCTTGGCGGCGGCGGTTGGCAGATGGAACCCTTGTCCACCTCGACCCCTACCACCGTGAAAATGGCGAAAGACTTGCCCACCTCCGCCGTGAAAATGGCAAAACACTAAACGTTTAGGGCAGTCCCGGGCCTTCCTTGCCTCCTCCTCTTCCTTGTGCTGTGGCTTGTTGCTCAACCTCGGCAGTGCCACTCACTCTTTAGCGAGCTGCCAGTGTGTTCAGCACGTGGGGACTAGTGGTGTCAGTTACGGGCTGCAGATAATTTGTGCTGCTGATTTGTTTTGTGTTGTTGAATAGATTTGTGTTTGCATGTATTGTGTTTATGAAAGCTGGCTCATTCAACCCTGGCGCCTTCCATTAAAAAGCTACAGGAACAAACAAGCACAAACACATAACAAGGCTACAAAGCGACACTTCTTCGTACACTCGGGGGACTATACTCGCATGCATAACAAGCGACACTTTGCTTATGCATGCGATGCACTCTTGCAAGTGGTGGTACTAGCTTTAGGTAAGTGTCTTCCCCGTTCCTACTTGGAATAGCAGGATGACGGCAGGGGATGGCAGCAGAAAGGCAGGGGAATGGCAAGGGGAACGGCTGGGTAATGGCATGGGGAATGGCAGAAGATTTGCAGGGGGATCGGAGGGGAATGGTAGGGGGGATTGCAGAGAATGGCACAGGGAATGGTAGGGGAAGGACAGGAAAATGGCAGAGAGAATGGCAGGGGAGCAGCTGGGGAAGGGCAGGGGGGAATGGCAAGGGGATGGCCCCGTCGGCCCCGTCGCAGCCCCTGTGGCGCCCGTTGCGGCGCTCGTCGCGGCACCCGCCCCGGCCCCGGTCGACCGTGTTACCATCAAAGCCCACCACCTATCCCATGCATGCACCGATGATGTCCTCGACCAACTTTGCCGTGCCCGACACTTTCCCGAAATAAACCTACGAGGAGGTGACGACCAGATCCGGGTTCTCCTCGACAACGATCACGAGACCGCATTTCGTACTTGATATGGGAGTTACAAGTTCAGCATGATGTCGTTTGGACCGACAAATGCATTTTCCACTTCAAAACTCACCATGAAACGTGTTTTTTAGGATCTACTCGACAAGAGTGTAATTGTCGACCTTGACGATGTCCTCA